GTGATTGTTCCAAATGCGTATCCCGGGAAGCGCTCTCGAGATCAGAGGTAACAGGTGATAAATATAGATATATTTGTTTGAAGCAATAGCGCAGATATCAAGTATGATGCACCGTCACTTCCTGGAGGAAAAGGAGGGGCTCGAGGAATATATTCCGACCTGTAGCCAGCCCCAATCGATGGGGTGTGTGATTCAAGTGTTTAGATGACCGCTGCAGCCGGGCAGGCGAGTCAAATCAGGTTAAAGAGAGTTCGGAGGAACACCTTTGCGAAAGGGCCAGTCACTAGGAATCAGCGGAGGACAATTGACCTCCCGAGAAAAAAGGGGGCGCACGGAATGGTGAAATAAGAGAAGCCAAAACAATACGGGCTCAGCAAGTTAAATGAGGCCAATAAGCAAAATGACAAGAGCAAACACAACAGACGAGAGTTCTGCTGATAGAACAGAGGAATAGGATCCTTGGAGAGAGAGAGTGAGCCGAAGGAGTCTGTTAAGTTGCCTCAAAGGGTTTAGCGTGTGTTTTATGGGGCGGTGTGATGTGGAGAGGGGCAGTTGGCTTTTGCTTGTGTCAGCAGCCCTCCAGTGGACCTTTCAAGGTATGGGCCGGCTGGGTGTAAAGGCCCCAGGGGTAGGGCTTGGGGGCTGGAGGGTTGGAGAGCTCGAGCAGAGACCTCCATAATGGATGCTGGAGTTTCCCAGCGCACAATATACATATGGATGGTCGTACCTTTTGGGGCTCGTATACAAAGGTACTCCGTACATCTATAGTGAACTAGATGGGAACAAACTTTACTTACTGTGAATATAGTTCTGCTCTAGAACATTATTATCTCCTATGTTTAGCGCCTAAACATGGTCTGTGCAATTGTAAGACGGATTTTAGCGGCTCTCTTCAACCTAATAGCACACTATATTAACACCTATTTTAGAAAATTCTATCGGTACTACATTCTTTTCCCGGGATAACCTAGACATGGGGTGTGCCCTCTAACCGTACTAGTAGTAGCTATGGGCCCAGGCTATGCAGAGTTAGAGCGGATCTAATGGAACAGGCTATATACTTCAAGTTGCTCCCTCACATACAACATACATCTACAGCAATCAAATGCTGTGCGAAACATCGACGAATCGGCGCATAGCTTCCCGCTTTTGCTTTGATACATTAATATTCTCATCGCCAATAACCTGCTTCTCTCATGAAGTAGCCATATGTTTTGACATACCTTTATAGACCCAAACCACGTGACTGACTTCTCCATCCCACACGCGCCTAATCGAACATGTTTATTCCTTCGAGTGATGAGAGGCTCTTAAGGATGACTCTGTATTTAAATTTAAATTCTACTTTTTCTCCCCACTCGAATCTAAATTGAAGTTTTCTTTTTCCTTTTTTTTTTTTTTTTTTTTTGACTTGGCGACCGAAGTTCGCGATATTAATTGCGCTCTATCAATCTGGTGGGCCGCCTTGCCTCGTCCTAACGTGACGTGACATGCACCAAGGCCAACCTATCTACTCAACCTCCTTCCCTTTCCCAACCCTCCTCTTACAAAGAACCTTACCTTTATTTATTAATTTTCTGTAACTTTTTTGCGAAAAATTCCTTTCGGGATCTCGCAGCCATCGCGCAACGCCATTGATCTCGGCGTTCGACTCATCAGCTCGGCGCAGACCCCTCGGAAAACCCGCATCAATGGAGGGTGAGCCCTTGCCCGATGCTCCTGATGCTCCTGATGCCCCCGATGCTCCCGATGCTCGAATCTCCCCTGCACTGCAATTGCAGACAGCTACCGTCCCCGAGTTCTCCGCACCTTCTCTGTCACCCTCGTTTAGACTAGATGAAGGCTACTCGGACGATACTAGAAGTCAGGCCGACAAAGATCTGGGATCGGACAATGTCATGGCGCTTCCAAATTGGGTGCTCGCCCAGTCCGAGGCCGGCAGAGCTGGTAAGATTTCCCTTTCCCTTTCCCCCTGTGATAATTACCACGAGCGTGAAGCATTAGCCTCTTTCGCCTGTCACCTTGCGATTTTCCTTGCTAACACAGCGTCTTCCCACTGCTAGAGCTCGCATACAGCCTTCTTCGGTCTCTACAAACCTCAAGCATCGCCGCAGTAGTTGATCGACTCAACCCCATCCTCCATATTGACCCATGTGTTAGGCTTCCCCCGGAAGTCACATGGGAGATCTTTACCTACCTCGATATTCGGACGCTTCTGAGTGCTTCGCTTGCATCCCGCTCATGGCGTGAACGTATTCTTGACTCGGGTCTGTGGAAATTCCACTACATCCATGAAGGCTGGGACATGGACACGAGCGCGATTCGAGCGTTTGAGCGAGAACATTCCGAGGCCATGTCGCCCCAGACCCGGAAGTCCCGCCTACGCCACTCAGAACTAGATCTTGGGGAGCCTAAGCATAAAAAGCGCGTGCCCTCAACCTGGCTCGATGCACGAAGCGATGAAAACCAAAGCGATGAAAACCAAAGGCCGACCGTGTTTGGCCCTGCGCCACCGGTGGCCGATAGTGAAGGTGATCACCACATGACTGATGATGACGATCAAACCGCACCGTCGTTCGCTGATGACCCGGAGTTTATTCTGCCAACTGATATTCCCCAATCTCCTTCGCCCCTGTACCCACCTCTACGATCGAATATTCTCATGCGGGATACCGACGGAAGCGCTAAGATCAACTATTTTCATATCTACAAGCAACGCAGGCGGCTTGAAGCAAATTGGCATCAAGGGCGATACACCAATTTCCAACTTCCTGACCCGTCTTACCCAGACGAGGCCCATCGGGAATGCGTATATGCGATCCAGTTCGAAGGCCGATGGCTAGTCAGTGGGAGCCGAGACAAGTCTGTGCGAGTCTGGAACCTGGATACCAAACGACTGTGGCATCCTCCGCTGGTGGGACATTTCAAGTCCGTACTTTGCCTGCAATTTGATCCTCGGCCCGAGGAAGATATCATCATCTCCGGCAGCAGCGACAAATCCGTCATTGTATGGAAATTCTCCACTGGAGAAAAGATCCGTCAAATTGAAAAAGCGCATCTTGACTCGGTGCTCAATCTCAAATTCGACCATCGTTACCTCGTAACATGTTCCAAAGACCGAACTGTGAAGGTATGGAACCGTCGAGATCTTCTACCGAATAGCAAGGATTATCCACGTATCTGTCATGGATCAGCCGCCACATATCCTACATGGATAATAGATCTGAACGCGGTTGCACCGAATGTTCTTGAAGCTGGCATTGCACATGACCAATACAAAGCCCTAGAGCCTTACACGTTGCTTATGACCGTGGAAGGACATGGAGCCGCCGTGAATGCGATGCAAATCCATGGTGATGATATTGTGACGGCATCTGGAGATCGAGTGATCAAGGTCTGGAACATCCGCACTGGTGCCTGCTCGAAGACCTTGATGGGCCACGAGAAAGGCATCGCATGTGTTGAGTTCGACAGCCGAAGAATCATCAGTGGCAGCAATGATAACTCTGTTCGCATCTATGACCATGCCACCGGAGCTGAGGTGGCGTGTCTGCGAGCGCATAGTAATCTTGTTCGCACCCTCCAAGCAGGGTTTGGCGATGCTCCGGGAGCCGATGAAACCTTGCGCGGGGAAGCGCTAGCGTGTGAGACTGCATTCTTCGCCGCCCAAGAGGCCGGATTGGACGTCGACATGGGTCATAGGGACCAACGCCGCCATGGCTATCAACCGAATACCGCGGGATCACGGGACCCTCGCGATATCCCTGCTCTGGGAGCAAAAATCCCACCCGGTGGGGGAGGTAGTAGCTGGGCCCGTATCGTGTCTGGTTCCTACGACGAGTCGATATTAATCTGGCACAAAGACCGTGATAACAGGTGGACAACGGATCATCAACTACGACACAGTGATGCTATCACCAATTCCGCTCGTGCAAACCTCAGTCAAGTAGCACGAACCACTGTTGCGGCCCAGGCTCAACAATTGCAAGCAGCACAGGCTCTGGCATCACTTGGGCAGAATGCCAATGTCAACCCCCACGCTGGTCGTGCGAACCCACCATTTATGCCTCCTCTGGTTATTAACGCCGTGCCACTCAACCCACCTGCTGCTCACCATCATCACCACCATGGTCACCAACGCAGACCTCAAGGATCCTCCACAGCCGCCAGGGTGTTCAAACTGCAGTTTGACGCACGGAAGCTCATTTGTGCCAGCGTGGACCCCCGTATTGTGGGATGGGATTTTGCCTGCGATGATGAAGATATCATTGAGGCAAGTCCATTTTTCAAGGGGCTTTAATCTTTCTCTCGACTTTACACCTTTTAATACCAGCATTTGTTCTTGTTTTGCTTCAGTGCATCTCCTGCATCGTCCTTACTGGGCGCGAATTGTGGACCCTCTGATGAAAAGACGGCTCAATTCACTTGACGATTTCCTATTATTAGCATTCATGCGATCACCTTATGTTTTCTTTGCCTGGTGCATTGCTCCTTGCTCTCCTGCTTTATGTCTATCTCTCTCTCTCTCCGTGTCCCTTTGTCCTCTCTTTGCCCATCTTCTCAATGTCGTGTCATATACATACGATGGGCTCTTGCTTTCTTCTATTTAATGATGTATTTCTTATTTTGACTTCTGTGTTAGGAGTCATTCCTGGCTATCCCGGTCCCATATCTTCTTTCGGAGTTCTTTTTTTTATCTTTTTTTCCGATCTCATTATTATCTTTCATGCATGGCGCCGGTGTGGCATTTGATCCATAGCATTATGATTAGCTGATTAGCATCAATCAGAAAGGTTCGATTCCGAAGACAATCTCACTTCATATTTTAAACCACCTCGGCAAAATTGTCTCGATCTCTCAATTGGAATGTGGGACCCGGGGAAAAAAAGAATTACATGACTCATCAAGAACTATATCCATGGATCCCGCAATAACTACTTGCAAGTTCCCCCGGACAGTCTATCAACTTCATTAACCTCACTTTATTCTTACATATCATCATGGCCACCCAACCCCCAGACTACCACCTCATCGGGCTATACACCCGCTACTCTAGTAAGCAGCATGCAACGAACCATCCATCCATGGATATACTAGCGGACTTAACTAACAAGCCCCTCCCCAACTAGGCTGGACCGCACGCGTCGAAGCAGTACTGGAATACTTCCAGATTCCCCACACGCGTCAATTTATACAGCTCTCCGAGGTATGTACCTACCCACATCCATCCTCAACACAAACCCAGACAAGTATACAGTCACTTACACAAGCTACACAGACAAAAGCCTATTCCCCAACAGGCCTCGTCCCAATCCTACAATGCCACTCTCTCCCCTCAGCAACAATAACAGACTCCCTCGCCATCTGCGAATTCCTCGCTGAATCAAACCCAACCCTTCCCCTCTGGCCTAAGGACCGTCTCTTGCGCGCCCTAGCCCGCAGCGCCGCTGCCCAGATGCATTCCGGCTTCCCAGTCCTGCGCAATAACTTCCACACAAATTTCCTCGCCAGATACACGGGCAACGTGCCGATCCCGGATGGCGCGGCTGCGGAGATAGCGCGCATGTTCCGGATCTGGGATTCGGCGCGGAAGGCGACGACTGAGCGGCTTGCGGTGCTGGGAGAGAGTGATGAAGGGTTTTTGTTTGGTGGGTTTAGTATTGCGGATGCCTTCTTTTGGCCAATTCTTTGGGTGAGTTCCTTTTCTACCTTTCCTTCCTTTCTTTCGCAAAAAAGAAAAGGAAAAGAAGACAATGGGAGCATTGGCTAACTTTACTTTCTAGCGATTCCGCACTTATGGCCTCCCGCTAGAGGGTGCTGGGCCTGATGCCCTGGCATGGATGGCGAAGATGTGGAGTGATCCGGTATTCAAGGCGTTGGGGGATAGGTACTATGCGCAGGCTGAGGATCCACAGACTTGTATTGCGCATTATGATGATATCTTCCAGGACAGGGATGATGTGCAGTATGGGCTGTTTCCGAGGGATTGGACTTTCTCGGGTTCTGGGTGAAGATTGTATATGTAGTGAAGGAGGTCTAACCTATACTAAATGCAGACATCAATGTACTTGAGAGAAGAACTGTAGGTTTGAAGGGCTTAAAAGGTTTCCCGTGATAGCTATAAGAAAAATCACGGTTTCCAGCGCAAAGAAGAACCAAACTCATGTCCGAGATGTGTACATCCAGTGAGGGTATTTCCTCCATGTTTGCCTATCGGGGCTTCAATGTTGAACATATTTCAATTCCGGGGTCAGCTGAGCTTCTAAGGTTGCTCTGAGACATGACAGGCCACCAACATTCTATCCGATAGCACTTCCGGGTCCCGAGGTCAGATACCGCTCTCTCTGATCACTTACAACATAGATAGTCTTCAGGGGCACCCGTGGGCCTGGGCATCTACTGACCTCGGAGAATTTAGCCCATGTTGAGTCCATATTCAAAAGGGAAATCGGCCCCACAGGGCGGTTTATTCTGTTGTTGAATATCGTAGACCATATAGCGAAATCCAACCTTTGGAAGCTCTTGAAAAAGAAAGAGAGAAAAAGCTGGCCATATGGAAGTGTAACTCCAACAGAGGCAGAGTTAGGTCCCCCTAACTCTCCTTCTATTGAAATACCTCTTCATCGAGACAACTTTCAATGGTTCGAAACATCAGGAGAAGGTTTATGCCAAGAGTTCCGGGGTTTCAACGAGAAAATCCCGATCTTGGCATTCAGATGCGCCAAGACCAATGGGCGGTTATTTTCCCATCAACCAATCTCAGGGTCCTTCTGGATGGAGAGCTTTATGTTGCAGATCATTACGGAGAAGATAGTATTAAGAAGAGAATTCTAAGGTGATTTGCCATAAATCTTCCACAAATAGTGAAGATACATAACTAGATGTGCTCGTGACCGCATGGAATCGCTTCCCTCGGGTTCCGGTTCTTGAAGAATCTTCTTCAAAATCAGTTAGGTCTTGAACGTACACCGCCACCTTTCTTGTTCGAGCCAATCTTACGGAGTTCAAGACTGGCCTCTTAGCTCAATATTCTGGCGGTGTACGACATGTGATGTGCAAGGTACCCTGCGTTGATCCTTTCACTACTCTCTGTATGGAGTATACTCCGGGCTAGTGCCACTCCTGGTCATTTTCCGGTCGCCCCGGAAGGTCCAAAAGTCTTTCTTCCAATCGGCCTTCAGAGCGCTAGCACGCGGTAGCGTGCATAGAAGGAACTTTAATAGTAGGAGCGGAGCCCTTGGCAAGGGAATAAATCTAGCTCTAGCTATGTAGATAAGACTCATATCAATCTCCATGACTTCTCCCTCTCCCAGTAACCCTAATAGTAGTCCATCCCAGTCCCTGGATTAAGCTGTGATATCCAAAGATTGCCAAAATGGCGAAGTCTAGCCTGTTTGGTTGGTGGATCTTGTAATCGCGTAGATAGTCCGCGGGTTTCAAGGTGACAGACACAGCCACAATGCCAATACTTCAAAAATCTTGGCTTTCGGCATTTTCACTATAACTGTGCCTTAGTATTGGTTACATAGTATAATTAAGCGCCAAGAGCCAAGGCGGAAAAGCTGACGTTAGAAAATGTCTTATGTTCCTGAGAAAAGGTTGAGATAGAATATGCATCCCGGCTGAATTGGGACATAAGCCCTACATGACTAGTCGGGGTCGTGGAGTAATCCACCGAACTCATCCAGTCAGATGTGGTCGAATTTCTTCACGGATAATGAGGAGTCCTGTAGCTGTATATCTAACTGAGACAGTACTCTATAAGTCTTGTCTTGCTGTGATCTCCAAAGGTATAAAAGGTCTCTTGCTGGCCCTCGATTTGATCAATCATCACCCATCAAGCATCAACTCAACAAAATGCACGCCAGCACCATCATCTTCGGTCTCATTGGCCTCGCCAGTGCCCAGACACTCAAAATTCCCACCCGTGTTGGCAACATTGTCTCTCTCCCTTCTCCCAGTGTGATCAAGGGCAATGTTGATCTCGGCAACCGGGAGTACGACCGTGGTCGTCCCTGCAACAGCGACAAGGATACCGGTATGTCCACATAGAAATGAGTCTAAATGAAAGGTTCTAATTTAAATAGGCTCCTCCAGTGCCGTGTTCGTCCTGGAGAACGGAGCTTCCCTGAGCAACGTGATCATTGGAAAGAACCAGCTCGAGGGCATCCACTGCAAGGGATCCTGCACTCTGACCAACGTCTGGTTCCGTGACGTCTGCGAGGTGAGTGGTCCCAATTTCTATCTGGTCATGCTTATCTGGTCCACCAATGCTAATGTGCCTTCCCTATAGGACGCCATTTCCATCCTCGGAACCGGAAATGCTCTCATCAAGGGCGGTGGTGCCCAGGAGGCCAAGGACAAGGTTGTGCAGCACAACGGCGTCGGAACCGTCACCATTGATGGATTCACCGTTGTGAACGCCGGCAAGCTGTACCGTTCATGCGGTAACTGCAGCAACAACAAGAGCAAGAGCCCCCGCAAGGTCGTGGTCAAGAACGTCAAGGCCAACAACGTGGGTACCTTGGTTGGAATCAACTCCAACTACGGCGATCAGTCGTCAATCAGCGGCGTCTGTGGATCTGGCGTCAAGCACCTGTGCGAGGAGTTCGAGGGAGTGGATAAGTCCGCAGGCAAGGAGAGCCCCAAGCTGAAGACGACTGCTTCCTGCAAGGGACAGACCTCTGTTTCTTCTTGCTAATTTCGAATCAATCTTTTGATGGAAGAAGAGTAGAGATAGGCATGGAGAAGGAGGAAGGATGAAGGGGAGAGAAGTGGGAAATCAGATAGGGAAGACGTCAGAGCATCACAGCATCCCCCTCACAGGGTTGTTGAATCTCTCTCAGACTAGCTATCAATGTACTATACAATGTGGAAACCCCCGAAAGACTTCCTAATCTCGTAAACAGTAAACCCGCCTGTCACGCTTCTATCGGATTTTCCAATTTAAGCGTCCTTGTCGTGTAGGAAGGAGAGTATAGCATTTGACTTGTCCTCAAATTCGGCCATAAAGTCCAAATATTCCGCAAAGAACACTTCATCCACCCCATTAACGGCGGATCATTCTCCTGCCATACATCAACGAGCTTTACATAGTGGTGCCAATCTTGCGCCGACCGAGGGCAGTCCTGTAGAAGTGGTGTGCCTAACAGCGTCTGGAAAGACTCCTCGTGGACAACTGGTGCATGTGTTTTAAATGCTGCACCGATTTATGGGCTACCTCGGATGCGTACGTGATATCGGTGAATTTTCCAAATTATAGTAATTGCTTCCTAATCTTAGCTGCAACTGGGTACCAGATTTATGGGGAGTACCTAAGTACATTTACATACAATGTATGTTAGGTAGATATATATATTGCCGTGGATTTGCATGGGTTACAGCGAAACAGAAAAGGAACGTTGAACGAATGATTTAAATTGTCTCGCGTGACAAAAATGCGACTGTTATTACCAGCTCATATCAGATTTATAGAAGGGATTGACTTTACAAGTATTGCACAAGACCAGTCTCTTATAACTCGGGTCCGGTATCGAGAGCCCATCTAGCTGCGAGCACTAAAACAGAAACGGAAAAGACGTGCGAGAGGAAATCCGGCACGTAAATGTGTAGGTACAAGAGCAAGACAGGTTCGAGTTAATGATAAAACTACTTAATAAGCGCGGTTGTGCATTGATCACTTAGAAAAGAAGGAAAAGAGCATCACAGTAGCAACGCAACAGGTCGTTGAAGCGCATGTACTTTAACCAAAGATTATACAACGGCAGGGTCCACAAGAGTCGGAAACATAACACCATACAGAGATGAGATCCATGTCTGGAGTCCATGAAGACGAGGATTCCCCTCATTGTTTTCATTCTGAGATCCGGCAGGTGATACCTGGCTCTGGGCGGTTACATATGTTTCCCGCGAGCTGGTTGCCCCGAGAGAATCATCTGATTCTTCATGACTGCCCGAGCAGCAGCAGAAGAGACATCTTTGGGTTTTCACCCACGCTAAAACGTCCGGACAGACGGGCGTGCTTGCGTGAGGGCCTTCATCTGCACCACTGCCGTAGCCAGCCATCGTAAGAACCGAATGCAACCGCGATGGATTAGGAGGGGTATGGTCTCCAGCTGCCCTAGTCCCTTGAGCAGAAGATTCCGCTGGTTCTGCAGGACCGTCCGATCCAGTCAGATTACGCGACAGGCTAAGAAGTGCAGTGGATCTAGGCCGCGGTGGGCGGTTTACCACAGCAGGGGCCGGGCTCGACGGAAAGGGAAAATGTCGTCTGGACGGGGACCTGGCCAGAGGCTGGGCATGTCTGCTCGGGCTTCGCCCAAGACCACCCTTTGTCTGTGCAGCTTCAATATAAGGATCGTAGCTTGTATCCGTGGCTTCGTGGCGGGCAATGAGAAGACGTTGGTGGAAAGGGTGGTCCTGCAGCGGTCGACCGATGCTCATTCCATGTCCACTTTGTCGATGGGGAAACCGGCCTTGTACCAGCGTGCCATCCTCCGCTCTTCCTATGCCATTAACGGAAATCCCACCGGCATGAGACGCAGGCGGCAAGCCAAATATTCTCCTTATGGTGTCGCCATACGAACTGCCACGCTGGTCACCAACAGGACCACCGCCTTGCAAGTTTGCGTGTGATCGTGCAGGGTTGTCTGGAAGCATGAACCGTGAAGATATGGACACAGCCTCTGACGTGCCGAAGGAGGGAAGGCCCGGAGGTGTAGGTGTTCTTTCTGGCGGTGGATATCGAGGTTGGATGGTTGTTACTGCAGGTCCCAGGTTCCTAGGCCATCTGGGCCTGTAGATATTACTATCACCGAGGGAAACGGCCTTGCGATGCAAAGTCCGACGAGGGTCTGGTACTGATCTTGTTCCACTCAAAGGAGGCCTCGACCGGTGTGTGGCTTGCCAGTACTGGTCAGATAACAACTTGGTGTGATTCCCAAGTTTCCCTGCCATTCTCTGCCGTCTTCCTTGCTTAACCAGTACACTGGTAGGGGTCTGATCATCCTGTGAATCCGTAGGAACGAATCTGGCCATGTTTACCGCTAAGCCTTGCTCGTCGTGAACGGGGTTCTCATGGAGAAGAGACGCATAGAAACGAGGGCTAGAATCATTTGGTGTTGCGACTCTGATCGCATTGTATATAGATCGTTCATCGCTTAAAATGGACTCAGATGAGTTTGGGTTATCGTATGGTGAAACGGAGTCGGAATCTTGAGGGTGTTTTCCACGTCGGATGCTCTGCGATGCTGAAAAAAACCGCGAATGAGGGTTACTGGACTGATCGATTCTTCCTCGGGCAAGCATCTTGAAGGCCAAAGAGCGAAGCCTGGTCAAGGTTAAAATATACTGTGAGAGAGTGACAGGTGGGAATGACAAAGACGAGTATGTGATTTCCTTCGAAAACCCTCCTCCCTCATCGTGCCTGCCGAGATCAAGTCCAAAAAAAATATTATACAAAACAGTCTATATGTACACTCTTGAATGAATATGCGCTCTAAACCCGAAAACGTTGAATGTCATGATCATAATGGAGTGCCACCTGGGCTAGGCATTGGCTTGCCAGTCACCTGGGCGTGCTCCTTTCTTAGGGCTCGCAGCAACCCTTCAATCCTGCGACGCTCTTCTTGTTCGGCCTGGGAGGTGTCAGCTAGTTTGAGAGAGAGAAAGGTACGATACAAACTCACCCTCAGTATCTTCATGTTCTCGTTGCGCGTGTCACGCATCATCTTCTTGAACTCATTCTTAAGCACCATGGTAGATGTCGTCTCGGAAGTGCCATCGCGGCCCACGGATGTGGGACTACTCAAGTTCATCCAGCTTATACGTTCTTCTGCCAGTTGTGTCTCGAGCTGCTCACAACGATCCCGAAGACTATCAATGAAAATTTCGAAGCGTTCGCGTTCCTTCTCAAACTCGATGCTGGCTTTCGTCATGGCTTCGTAGTCATCGATGGTCTCACGAAGTTCTCTTTCAAGAGTATCCGCTCGCTGCTGAAGATCACCACCTCCTCGCTGGCCCTTCAGAGCGGCCAGCTCTTCAGTAAGCTCGATGTTTCGGGTAACCAGAGCATCGTTCTCCCTTTGCATACTAGGGTTGGTAGCTACCTCTGCTGCACGTTCGGCCCGGGTACCATAGGCACCATCCAGCTCTGCCTTGGCCATTGTCAGTTCAGTTGTGACCCGCACAATCTCGCCTTCAAGCTCAGTCAACTCATTCTGCAGGCGAGTGACGTTGTGGTCGGACTGCGCGCGCTCATCATCCGCTTCCTTGATACGGGCATCAGATTGAATTCGGATCTGTTGAATTGCGGCTTCAAGTTGGGCCACCTCTTGCTCTGCGCGGTCACGAGCACCCCTAATTTCCTCGGATCTGGAATCGCTATCGTTTTGAAGCGTTTCAACGACGCTCTGCAGGCGTTGAACCTCGTTCTCCGCGCGGTCCCGGGCTTCCTTAACGTCTTCACCTCTAGCATCCGTATCATTTTGCAAAGTCTCAACGACGAGATGTAGACGCTTGGCTTCGTCTTCCGCACGGTCGCGGGCCTCTATGGCCTCTTTCAATTTAGCGTCGGTATCATTTTGCAACGATGCAATGGCCACTTGGAGACGGTTGACTTCTTCTTCCGCATGTTCGCGAGCCTCTCTGGCCTCTTCGCTCTTGGCATTGGTATCGTTCTGCAACGATGTAATGATGACTTGGAGACGCTTGACTTCGTCTTCAGCATGTTCGCGAGCCTCTCTGGCC